TTGAATTGAATTGTGCAGTGGTTTATGTTAAAATAAACCTTTGGGTTAAGTTGTCGCAAGCAGGTTTTTCTTGTGTTTCTTGTGAATTTGGTCTTAAATTTTTATTTCAAGTGGCATTAAAAAGGCTTAAAAAGTCTTGAATTTAACTTGCCTTATGCTGTAGGAACTCTGTAATAAATAGAATAAAAATAATAAATAAATAGAAAATCTTTTTCTGCTCTTAGAGCCATTAAACTCTTTAGCACCCTGCACACATATTCAGTTGGAATTGGGTCAGAACTCAAAATGTTGATGGTTTTTGCTTTCCTAACTTAAAAAAATATATATTTTTACTGTTATTTTTTTATTTGTTTTGGAAACAAGATTTCTTTGCAGACTGATTTTGTTGCTGAGAATCTTTATTTCTTTATTGCTCCTTTTTACTGTGATCAGTTGGCTTGGTCTATTTGCTGAAGAGACCCCCAAAGCATTACATTTCTACCCTTTGACTCCTCTTTTTTACTTTCCCTCTTTTATTTATGAAACATAAAGGCTACGTTTTCATACCCAACTATTCAAGTTTTGCTTTATCTCATTATAAAAAGACACAAACATTTAGTTTGGACAAATTAGCATTTGTAGTCACCAATGGGGCGTTGGTCCTGCACTGTCTGCAGGACTGTCTGCCTTGCAGAGTCCAGATTCTCCACACTGCAAAAAAATGGAAATCTAATAAGTAATATTTTCTTAAAATATGTGCTGTTTGTCTTGAATTGAGGAGGTAAGTGCGACACTTTGCCAATGGAACAAGACAATTTACATTTAAAATAAGAAAAAGCAATTGTATTGTCTTATTACAAGTGCATATTATCTAATTATCTTATTTTAAGAGTAAACATACTCATTCCATTGGCAAATCATCCCAATTAACTGCTAAAACTAAGGGTAAATACACTTGATTTGGGACATTTGAACTTATTTCTAGATCATTTTTGCAGTGCATGGCTGCCAGGCGTGACTTTCTGTTTTCTCAAAACACTTTCTGAGATTTTTAACAAATAACCCTACCTATAGATATAACCTTATAGACATTTCCTTTGTCTTAGCCATTCCTGACCACAAACTCAGCCATTTCTGGTTGAATAAAAGTACATTTTAAGTCCAGGTTTGCCTGGCGAATGAATATTTAGGCCTGGACTGTATATCCTTTAAAATAAATCCAACTGAAACATCTGCAGAAGCTTTAATATTTTAGGAATCCAGGACTTCCTGGTTCATTGGGTCTTTACTAATGTGCCTCAGATGCTTCTTTCCCCTTTGCTATTATTAAAAAGAGGAATAACAAGAGAACTTATCCTTCAAATAAAGCTGATATGTGTTGCTCTGCTTATTAAAGTTAAAAATGAATATCTGTTGGCTAGTACTGGGGGGTATAGCTTAAAAGTTTTTAGGTTTTTCTTTAGTTTTGTGAAAAAGAATTACAAACAGCAGGAATACAGATGAAAACCTTAATAAAGTAGCTTCATATAAGCTGTAAAAATGGTTTTAAAACAAGCAGGCTGTTCAATGAAATATAAAACAAAATGTTTGTAGCTCATGATATTGTGCAATAAGTTTGTTAATAAGTTTTGAGTATATAGTTAAGAGCAAAAAGTGAAGTATAGAAACCCAATGACCTGAAGCAGAGATCGTCGTCTTTGTGTGACGTCTTTATACTAGGTAGGCCTTAAACGGTGGAGGGAGGTTTCTGCTGTATGTTACTGTTACAGCTGAGTGACGCTTTAATCAGATCTGTAAATAAAGACTATAAACAAACATCCAATATTCCTACAGACATTTTATAGTTTTGTTTTTCTGCTCTTTTATACGGTAGTGTGATAACTAGTAAATAAACATGTTCTCTCTCTGTTCCTCGTGTTCTCTACACCGAAGGCGGCGGACAACGAAACCTTTAAAACGATGGTTCAATTTGAGTGCCGGGGCCTGGAGCCGGTTGATTTCCAACCACAGGTGAGAATGTGACGTGTGTGTTCAGGAACAGAGCTGTAAATCCTGACGGCTGCTGTGATTTCTCCATTTTACTCTTAAATTAGTGAAAAACTAATTAAAGAAGCTTCAGGAAGTTCTGTAGAGCTATCTCTAACACTCTGCTTAGTTTAAATGAGATGCATCCCTGACTTTCGGAGGCCAATGATCTTGTCGCCTCTATTTAACTGTTAAAAAAATCACAAATTACAATAGAAATCTAAATTTCACTTTATAAATAGTTAATATATTCTTTATATTGTATTTACTCGCACACCTATGCATAAATAAAATAGGTTTGTGATTTTATGTATATTCTTTCTATGGCTTTACATCACAATATATCAACTGTCTGCAGGCCGGCTTCGCTGCAGAAGGAGCAGAGACAGGAACGCTGTTTCCTGAGGTCAACCTGCTAGAAAAAGTAAGGACACGGTGGACAGTTTTTTTTGTTTCTACAAATGTCCAATCAGATTATTAAACAACACTCTCATATCGCACATTTTAGGACTGGACAGACTACGACGAGAAGGCTAAGGAGTCTGTGGGAGTCTATGAGGTCACACACCGATTCATCAAGTGTTGAAGTCTTGAGACGAGGAGCCTTTGAGCTGGATGGATGGGACACTACAGTCAGATAAACCTCAGTTCTGAGTTCTGCCCTGCAGGAGGCTATGCTCCCTGAGGCGGTGTGGTTTGATTCATGATGAGCAACAAGAGGTGTTTGTAAACACAATGAGCTATTCCTTGTTTCTTGGATTGATCGTTATGCTCAGTAGGCCTGACCTTTGAGCATTGTCATAATAAAAGTGAAGATGGAAGTTCAGGCGCTTGCTTTTTTTTGTTTCCTCAACATAGTTCACCTTAGATGCTTTTGTTTTAAAATGTGTATGAGTTCAATTAATATACAGACAATAAAATCACATTGGTAAAAAGGTTTTTATCAAGGAAAACCAGCCGATTGCATCAAGTCGTTTACTTGAAAGACGGACTCCTCCTGGATGAGCTTTTGACTACGACTTACGCTTGCATTTTGACCTTGAATCTTCAGCAATCCCTCACACCAAGCATGCATGCAGCGACAATGAAGAGGAAAGCCCCCTTTTAACAGGAAGAAACGTCGCTCCAGCAGAACCAGGTTCAGTGTGAGCGGCCAGTAGCTGAGGCCGACGGGTTCAAGGAGACGGAAGCAGAGGGTAGCTGTCAACCAGTTCCACGGGTGGCCCTGTCCTTCAAAGTCTCAGCCATGCAGATGAGCTCCGAGCCAATTCCCATGTCGGAGGATGAAAGAGAACACATATAGTCACCAAAAAAAAAACGAAAATAGGCGAACGTCAACATTTATAAACAAAGGTGTCGAGGGCAACAGCTCACCTGATAATTCAAACCAGGTTGGAGTAACAGCCAAACAGGTACATATAGATGAAGCCACTATGACAAAAAAAAAAAAAAAAAGTTAGAGGTGAAAGTAACAAATACTACAGAATGGGAGAATACAGATAAAAAATGAAAAGGGGTTCCTCTGTCCTCCAGCAGCCTAACCCTTTAGCAGCATATATATAGAAAATAGCTTAGGATAACCCTAGTATGAGAAAAGTATCAATTAGCACAGCTTTAAAACTTGAAATTCTTGCTTCAAAGGCTGATAGCTTTCCGTCCAACCATAAGGTTAATTGGATCAAAACAGAAAACTTTTGTTTTTTTTCTTAAAAATTAACTCTGTTTACTTAATAAGCAATTTTAGATGATATTTTTGCTTGTTTAACAAGTTTTATAGTAAAAGAATTTGACTTGTAGGATTTTCAATGCACGTTTTGACTTGTTAGATCCTAAACTTAAAAGATAGAGCATTAAATGTTGAGAGAAGTGCATTTCATCCTTGAAAAATATATTTTAAATTTATTTTTGTGACATAGGGAGGATGCTGAGCCACAATCAAAGAAAGTAGGCCTTTAATTAAATGCACACGATCAAAATGACCAACACAAAATGTAAATGTAAAGCTTTTCATTTGTGTCTCTAATAAAATGTGCAATTTGCTTTAGAGAAGATGAATAAAGGAAGAACTAGGTTGAATTTTCAAATTATTTCATTGTGCTCTTCCACTTTTAATTACAGGCTTATTACATATAACTATATATTGTAAGCTATTTGAATCAATGTTTTTTGCTTTTTTTTTTTATTTACTAAACCTGTAATTTTGTTTTTCCTGTAACCTATCAACATTTTAAAGAAATATGCCTCTAGATAAAATGTAGTTAGAACTTTGATAAGTGGATTTTATGGCATTAAATAAGGGAGATTACTACCAGGAATATTTTATAACCCACTGAGTAAAACCAGAGATTGATTAAACTAGTCGTTGCTGGTGAAGGTTCTCAGTCCTCCAGGTCATAGTCGTTCCAAAAAACAAAAAAACTGAAAAATACAATCCATTGGACTTCGTTTCCAAGTTTGGAGGTCTTTTGCTTCCCATCCTGAAAGCTTTTTCAATTCAAAATGTCAGAAATAGCGTTGAGTTCGAGGCTATTTCTGACATTTTGAATTGAAAAAGCTTTCTGGATGTGAAGCAAAACGCCTTCAAACTTGGAAACAAAGTCCAGTGGATTGTTTTTTTTTACTTTTTTGGAATGAGTAAAAGTTATTGTTAACTTATAAATATTAAACTGACAGATCTGATAGTAATTTAAACGCAATAAATTAAGATTTGAGAAAAAAATTATTGCAGTGTTTTCTCCTCTTTCAGTAAGGCAACGATTTTTTCCTGCTAAGTGACACATCGTGCATGTATTAGACGAGCTATGCTTTGTGGGCGTTTCCCTGAGTGGAGTGACTGCTCTCTGTTTATCCTTTGACTCCTCTCTCTGGGAGCAGGACTGCTGAAGAAAGGAGCAACCATGGCACCTGCCAAGAAGAACAGAGTGTTTGTTATTGGTGTGGGAATGACCAAGGTATGGTTTTTATTTTTGTTTTTTACTTACCTTTCAGTCTAACGCCATAATAATTCTTCCCAGGCGCTGCTAAGTTTGGACGTTAGCATTGTTTGCTAATTCCGCTGTGAACCAGACGTTTACTTGCTGCTATCACTAGTGTCTGCAATGTCTATCATCATAACGAACTAATGGAAATATTTCCCTTCACTGTTACCCTGAATAAAAACACTTTTGGTGACAGAGATTGTTTATCTGTTTAATGTTGCAGCACTAATGGATCATAGTTCAATGTCCTCTGAAGTTATCGAAGCAGGACAAAGTTCG